CCCGCTCCTTGTCCCCCTTCCCCGGGCGTCTTTCCCCGTGGCTCCGTCTCCCTGGTGAGGTTTGACGTGTCCCCCCCCCCCGCCTTCGAGGGGTCTCTCAACCATGACCACACGACGTGGCTTTGGACAAAAGCCGTTTCCCTTCGACTCCTCTGCCTCCCCTCGTATCTGCAGCACAGGCCAGTCCTGCCTGTCGTTGTCAGGCAAAGGCCAGCCATTGGGGCCCCGCTACATCCAGGCTCCGGAGTCGTGTCAGCGCCCCACCTTCAGTGGCTGACTCTTGTCTCTCTCTCTCGGGATCATGAGCCCCATTGGGGGAGATGGAGTTTATCATCGCCCAGTCCCGTTAGCGGTCTTCCAGGGCAACGATGTGCTGTCCAGGGTTGTGCAATGCCGAGTTCTCCCTAAACTTGTTTTCATTGTGAGCATCAAGGAAAGATAATGTGAAACTGCTTATTGTGGATATATTATAACTTCCAGAAGTGCTCCAAGTCACTTAAACTAAAACCTGTGTGGAAACCATCTAGATAGAAGATAATAATACTTATTGTTTCCCATGCTCCAAACCTTTTCAGTGAAAACAAGCTTAGGGTACTTGGGGGCTGCTTGGATTAAATTTCTGGTCCTGTTTGGTCCATTAAGTAGCATTGAGGGCAGAAGGATTCAGGTCAGCATATTCAATTCTGTCTTGAGATAGAAAAGTTGGTGGGTTCATTTTGTTGTAATAGGGAAGTCCATATTTGAATTAATTAACAAATACACTTCAGTGTCAAATGAATCAATTTGAGGGTATATGAAGAAGCTGTGAGCCAAATGCCAACTAAATAGCTGTACTGGTGTTAAAGTCCACCAGTGCGGTTTGATTTCTGGCCGCTTATGCATTGAAAGATCTTTAGGGCTGTGCTCCCATTAACACAAGAAGTGAAGCCATTTTAGTGTCTTCTTTACCCTTTTTATTGTGATGTGTATGGGTTGCATGTAGTAAGCACTCTCTTCTATAAAGAGAGTACTAATGATTTGAAGTAGTCTCATTTCCCCCCCCTTGGACTAGAACTTTGCTTTTGCATATGAGATTATTTTAACCTACTGTGCATGTAAATTATACTACTACAGAGAATTGAGAACATAGAGGCTATTGTGTAAGCTGTTGATAGTTTATCCTTCTTGGGAAGAGATGTATTGATTTGTTCCCGCCATCTTTAAACCAGTGAAGGAGCTATTTTTCTACTTTTTTTCCTGCTGGTACTTGGATATCAGGCTTTAACTGACAGTGTTTTAGATCATAAATAAATGTGACAGATGAAACGTTCTGGTTTGCAGCAAGGCTGTCAACCAAATATGTTTCTTACCCTCTAGGCAGTTGATCTCCCACAATGTCGTTCATATTTGAATGGATCTACAATGGCTTCAGCAGTGTGCTGCAGTTTCTAGGTAAGGCTTCAGATGTGTTAAGACAAAATTGTAATGTGCTGAAATGCCTCTAATAAGGGTGCAGCTATACTGGCGTTTTTCATGCAGTCTGTTATTGATGGTTATGAGGAATAGTGCGTGTAATCTGTCAGTGATTCCACCACTCTTTGTTTTTCATCTCATTAGAGATAAGAATCTTGCAACAGAGGTCAGTCCTTCTTTTCTTTATCAGTTGATTGTATGCCATTGTACCCACACACCGGCGGGTCTACCTTGGACACCATGCTAAATTTTAATTCTTAAACCTGGCTAATTTATAATCCTATCCTAAGGTTCTCTGTTCTGCTCTAAGTGTGTGTTATCCAATTGAATTGGGGTAGTTACACAACTACAAAATCGTGCTTGCTTCGGCCGCACATATACTAAAATTGGAAATTGAACTACAAAACCCAGATCTTGTTGCCTTGCAGTAGAACTGCACACAACCCAGTACCAAGAAAGCAAAAGGTAAGTCCTAGGTGAAAGAAGAGTGCTCATTTGGGTACAGGATAAGAGGAAGTAGCAATTCCGTTTCCTAGGCTGCACCAGCCCAATCCTTCTGCATGAAGCAGCATCAACATTAGCACTGGAGAGGTGTCTAATAGATAATTTTAGGAAATAATTGAATAGTCTTGAGGTTTTTTCCTCAAAATTGATAGCTTAATGGTCAAGGAAAAAAGCATGAATAATCAAGAAAATCTATTGATTCTAATTGAACAGCGCTTTGAACTGAAGAAGAGCCTGCTGGATCATACCAGTGGTCCATCTAGGCCAGCATACTGCTTCACACCTTGGCCAGCCAGTTGCCATGAAGAGCCAAACAAACAGGGCATAGGGGCTGAGGTCCTCCTGCTGTTGCCTCCCAACAATAGTATTCAGAGGTTTATTGCCTCTGGAAATGGAGGCTGCCTTCAGTCACCATGGCTAGTAGCCATTGATGGCCCTCTTTTCCAAGGATCTGTCTAACACCCTTTTAAAGCTATTTATGCATCTGGCAATCACTATCTCCACTGGCAGTAAATTCCACGACTTAATTACTTGATTGGGGGGGGGGAGTATTTCCTTTGGTCTGTCCTGAACAACTTTCTAACAGTTTCATTGGGTGCCCTGAAGTTATGGAAAAGGAAGAAACAATTTCCACTTTCTCGACCCCAGGCATAATTTTATAAGCCAGTATCATGTCCCCTCTTGCTGTCTCTTCTTTAGACTGAAAAGGTCCAGACTTGCAGCAAAGGTGCTCCAACCCCCAAATCATTTTAGTTGCCATCCTTTGTACATTTTCCAGCTCTACAATATTCTTTTTAAGATATGGTGACCAAAGCATGCAGTATTCCAAATGAGGTTGCAACATGGCCTTATACAAGGACATCACAATATTGGCCATCTTATTTTCAGTCCCCTTCCTAGTAATTCCTAACATGGACTTTACCCTTTTCACTGCTTTTGCACACTGCTTTCCACTAGAACCCTAAGTTCTTTCAGTCTGAGTTGTTCAGACTCCATCAGCATATATTTAAAGTCAGGATTTGTTTGGGTCTAGTATGCATCACCTTAGACTTAACCAAGGTGCACTTCATTTACTGTGTTGTTGCCCATTCACCCAATTTAAAGAGATCGTCTTGTAATGCTTCACAATCTCCCCATGGTTGTTTTTGCGATCCTGAATAACATTCTCGATTTAGAGTTTTCTGCATGTGCCTTTCTCTCTTGCAGGATTATACAAGAAGTCTGGCAAGTTAGTCTTCCTGGGTTTGGATAATGCTGGCAAAACCACTCTTCTGCACATGCTAAAAGATGACAGATTGGGCCAGCATGTTCCTACACTGCATCCAAGTAAGTTTTGCCTAGCTGTTGTTAACAGGTATAGTCCTTCTGATTTTTAAAATTCTTGGTGTAGATTACTAAGGTTAGTCCTCATTGTAGGTGAGTGCTTCAGAAGAAGTTTCAGAATGTTAAGCTTTTATCAGTCCTTATGTGTTGAAATACAGTGCTTGCAGGAGATTGTGTAGAACATGCATGTTATTGCAGATGACTTTCTACATGATACTTTCAAGCCTCCCAGTTCATAGTACAACATGGGTGCAATTATTCCTAACCTTGAATTATGAAATGTGGCTAAGGTGTTATGTATCTTGAGTGCCTTCTGCTTCTGACAGCGGGTACTTTCACTTGAGACAGTAATCATCAGTGCCAATGTTACTGTGGCTCATAAATCAATTTCCTCCTTCTCTAGCTTCAGAAGAGTTGACCATTGCTGGAATGACATTCACAACTTTTGATCTTGGTGGACATGAGCAAGGTAAAACTAGCAGATGCTATGCTTCTCTCTCTGTTAATTATTTTGTCAGGCTACATATCATTGCCTTGAAACAGAATGAAAGTCTTGGGTATGCTTTTCAAGGTACTGGTTTTAGTTGATTTTTTAAATCTCATCTTGGCTTGGCTTGGCTTAATAACCTCAGAGATCCCTTCTTCCCTTTGTATGTTGATGTTCTAGAACCTGATTGTTTTAGCGGATTTCACTTAATAATTTCATTTGTGTGTTCTTTTTATATTGAAGAACTAAACTTTTTGGGATATGTCACTTTGGCTAACATTGTTTGTAGTTCAGTTACATCTTGCTTTTCTATCAGTTTAGTAGGATACCAGTGTAGCATAATAAAATTGCAGAAACACTATGCTGATCAGGGTTGGTCACGGTTAGTATTTGGATGCAAAACCACTAAGGAAGTGCAGGGGTGCTACGCAGAGGCAGGCGATGGCAAACCACCTCTGTTTGTGTCTTGCCTAGAATGCCCCATGGATGGGATAGCCATGAGTCGATTGCAACCTGACAAGACATTCTTCTTCTGAGACAAAGTATTACTAATAACATTTCATTAGCCAGACAGGGTGGTCCTGTGGAATGACATTTATGTAACACAAGCTTTGTATGAACTGTGCTATTCATGGAGACACCCCACAGATCTTTCCATTGTCATGGAACAAGTCTAAAATACCACTGTGGTCATGGAAATGGCTGTAGAATTTCTCCATGGATAGAACTTTCTGTGTATGTTAGTACTGAGTATGGCAGGACACATTACACTGAGAGACAGTCAAAACCAACTAGTGTCAAGATGCAGCCATAAGAATGTGACAGGTTAGTAACCAAGTGACATCACTTAAAGCTTGTTTCAAATTACTGAGATAATATAGAAGAGGAAAATGACATTTGTGAAAAGGATAATCCTGTAAAGTCACAGTGTTCCAATAGATGGAGCTCAGAAACAGCTTTAAATGCACCTTTTGTCAAGCTTTGCTTGTAGTGGTTATATTGCTTCCTAATCTGTCGTTTTATGGGCACATTTTCCCCTTGTAGCTCGACGTGTTTGGAAGAACTACCTACCAGCAATTAATGGGATTGTCTTTTTAGTGGATTGTGCAGATCACCCACGTCTTATGGAATCCAAAGTGGAGCTTAATGTATGTAGCATTTTTAACTGACAATACAGTTGCCATTATGCTTTGTATTTCTGGCTATGCAGAATATTTTTTTCCTCAAGAAACTGCCTTAAGATGTATTGTATGTGTTCAAATGGGGGGAAATGTAGTACATTAATCCAGCATGATGAACCCAAATGGAAAAGTGGGTAAAGGAGCTGAGATTCAGACGACTGCTTATCTAGTGACGGCACTAACAGTGACCACTCCTGCTCTTTGCTTGTGGCCCTCTGATCACTTGGGAGTTAGTATGTGGAGGATCATATTGTAGAGTGGGGAATTTGACTTTCTGGCTCCTTTCAGCCCATGGAAAATCTTGGTCTTCCAAAATGACCTGAGATAGAGTTAGGCAAGCCCTATTTTGAGATGCTGCTACTGTAATATTAGGTTTTAATAAAGTTCTGTGAGAATCCACAATAGAAGAAATCTTGGTGCAAGCCTGAATACACCTACTGGCAAGAAATTGTTTTCAGCAGCACTCATTGCAAGTTAATCATTAGTGGTTTGTTGCAAATATTTTATGACACAAGTCATTATCTTTCTTACCATTAGGCACTAATGACTGATGAAACAATATCCAATGTGCCGATTCTTATCTTGGGTAACAAAATTGACAGACCAGAAGCTATCAGTGAGGAGAAGCTGCGAGAAATTTTTGGACTTTATGGACAGACCACAGGAAAGGTAAAGTGTAAATCTGGTTATAAAGTAAGAAAAAATAATGCTGTGTTATAAAATCCACATCTTTCAAAAGTTTCTCATCTCATAATGGAAGTATATTTCAAAGTCAGAGTAAAGTATGGTCTAGTTGTAACAGTGTCAGGGGGGAGACTCAGGTCTGAATCCCCGCTCTGCCATGAAAGTTTGCTGGGTGACCTTGGGCTAGTCACCATCTCTCAGCCTAGCCTCCCTCACAGGTAGATGTTAGATTAAAATGGGGGGGGGGGTAACATTGTAAGCTACTTTGCCTCCCTGTTGGGGACAAAAGTGCTGTATAAATTTCTAAATAAATTGAATTTTAGTGGCTTTTAAAATACTGGAGAATATCTGCAAATATCCTCTTAATCTGTTTGAGGTACAGAGTCAAGTCTTAGCTACAGCTGTAATAAAATTATTTACCTTTCACTGAGGCTTACAAGAGCTTAATGGAGATGGATCTTGATCTTGGATTTTGCCCCTCTTGCTCTTTTGAGTAGAGGAATTTGTACCATAAGTCATGTCTGAAAAACTTGCATGTGAGGAATATGAATGGACCAATTTAAAGTCAGTGCACCTGTTTGTGCTACCTTGCATCTGTTTCTGTTGATATAGCATAGGATGCAGTTCTGTTTCTGTCTCTTGGAGTTCTGATTTGTTATGTAGCTGTGGCACTCAAAAGATAGAATGGTCATGTGGCAAATCTGTGTTGAACTAGATGAATGTTCAGCAAATGCTCTTTGTATTTAGAGGGTAGGGACTGTGCTTCACAAGCAGAATGTCCCAGGATTCAGTCCCCAGCATCTCCAATTAAAAGGACCAGACAGTAGGTGATGTAAAATACCTGAGACACTGGAGAGCCGGTAGCAGTCTGAGTAGACAATACTGATGGTGGACCAATGGTCTGATTCAGTATGAGGCAATTTCATGTGTGTTCTGTGTGTTTCAAAGCCTAAGGTAACATAATCTGTACAAATGACTTCTTGTTTGACTTTCCAGGGAAATGTGCCACTGAAGGACTTGAACACACGCCCCATGGAAGTGTTCATGTGTAGCGTACTGAAGAGACAAGGCTACGGTGAAGGTTTCCGTTGGCTATCGCAGTACATTGACTGATATTTGGAGAGATGGATCTACTTCTGGACTGATCCTGCTCACAGCTTCCTTATGGACTTTTCTATTAGAACATGGAAGGCTCTCCGACCGCATCCTGGCAGTGACCCAGAGATCCCTGTCTTCAGTTACCCTACATCACAGTGGTGACACAATTCTTTTCCTCTTGCCTGGGAGATTACACTCTGTACGCTGGTGCAGGCTGTCACTTCCGGCTGCCATTGCTTCCTGTGTAAGCCATGGCTTTCAGTCACAGTGGGACTGGTGAGCTGGGGTGCAAAGCTCTGCACACGGTACTCTAGTGGCTGAAAAAGGGAACATGTCTCACCACTGTGGCCAATTGACTTTAAAAAAAGCAATTATATTTTTTAAAGAAAGTGTTTAATGTAAATGGTGTCCCTTTTAGGTCCCTGGCCCCCCCCCCGCCCCCCCCCCCCCCCCTGTTAGCATTCATCTTGTTTGTGCCAGAATCTGTTAGGAATTTTTTTAAAAAAACATCTAAGGTATTTAGGTAGTTCCCAAATTATTGAACCAGCTATCATGATATTCAAAATCTTTAGTAAACAGAGTGGGGCTTAATTGCCCGGTGAGATGGTTATGCTGTGTCACACTGCTTGATCATGAAGACGGTGCTATTGGGACTCACTTGTGCAATGATTTCTTTTCCTTTTTAATTTACAGGGATTTTAGTCTGGGGTGGGGTGGGGGGAACAGAGCACGCACACAGGGACACTTGTTCTAGTTTTCCATGTCCTTATTGGGTTGGAGTCTGAATGCAGCTACCACCTCTACAAGTTATGATCACTTTCTCGCCGTCTCTTTTGCAGCTGCAGCAGTGTTCTCAGACTTATGGGTCATTACTTGTTCTACATTTTAGGCTGTTGCTGCACACAGCAGTATAAATCATGAATTTGTTTTGATGGGTTACTACAGCATTAAAGTGTTCCAACATAACGCATATCATAATGCTATTAATGTAAACTAACCCCTTTTCTTTTTTTATATTCAACAGAGCTTGTGTTTGAATTTCCATTCCTGTCTCCACATCTTCATTTTTAGTTTTAAAAAAAAGTAAAAAAAGTAAGACATCTTTCTCAGAGTGGCTTAGTGGTCTGGAAACATCTTGGCTTAGTTCTTGACTCTGTTACAAAACATGAAATACAACACAGCATTGTAGCAGGTGAACACAGGCTGTGATGCTTCAGGCACTTGTTCTGCAGACAGGTATATTGAAGCTGTGAATTGTGTATTGTAATTTGATTGGCTGCTGTGGTCCTGTGCCCTTTGTCTTAACAATTAATTCACCGAAAGAGAGGTTTAAGATTGTTGACATTTGGAAGCCCCAAAGTTTCTTGTGTTGGTGGTGATTACCTATTACTTGCAAGTGTTGAAAATGCAGTTACTTCAACCATGGAATCTATCAGTTTTGCCTAATGCTCCTGCATGTCAGTTTGTTTCAACTTACCTAAAGCTGCGTAAACACTTGAGTGCCAAGTGGTCTCCTGGAGAATGCTCTCTTGCAATCTGTAATGCAGCTATACTTTGTTGTCAACAAAGAGTTGAATGTACTGCAGAAATGATACACTTAAGTTGTACATGTTTATAGGTCTGACTTGCAAAGTGCAAAATGGTCTACCCCAAGACAGTCACATTGAACCATGATCGGGAGAACTGTGAAATAGCAGACTATTCCTGAAAAGGGTAACCAGACAGAAGTCTGACTCCAGGATCAAGAGGGCTCCCAGACAGAAGTCTGACTCCAGGATCAAGAGGAGTCTTCTCTAACGTTAGTCATTTTGTGTCTGTTCGCCTGTGTCTTCACCACCAAAATAGCAGCATATCTCACCACTGAAGTTTGAGTTCTTTAATCCTGTCTTTGTGAAGTCCGTGGGTTTTCTATAGAAGGATTGTCACTCATCCATCCGTGACTCTCACTTAGGCCAAAGTGCCTGTGGGTTTGGTGCCAAGGAGGTGTTAGAGAACCACACCAGACTATAGTGACCCAGCCAATACTCTTGACTTTGTTGATCAGACATAAATAATTCTATCTCCAGTACTGAGCACCTAAAGTTCTACTTGGCTGTTACATTCAAGGAATGCAAAAGGATGGTTCCTCTTAAATCAACATGAGACTTGCTCACCCTTACCTGAAATGGCACGTTCTGGTTCCATGCTTAAAAAAGATGTCCTAAGCAGACCCATAAGATTGGTGCCCAGTCAGAGCACAGCCTTCTATGAAGGTGGTAATCCTAGCCACTGGAGAAAGTGATTGTGAATGGCTCTGCCCTGTTTTCCCCCTTTCTGCCTGCCATGTACTGTCAATAGACAAGTCTTAACACCTTGATGTATGGATATAAAGTTAATATATACTTTAGAAATTGGACTACAGATTGGACAGTCAAGAGAACATAATTCTGTTAGCAAAATTATTTAACTTCCCATTTCTGGAAACGTGAAACATGTTTGCAGAGAGAGGTTTGTCTGTATCCAAAACATTTTAATAAAAGTTTTTTTTAAAAAATCACTTTCACACTCAGTGGACTGAATGTGGCCATAATAGTGAGTTAAACATTGGAAGGGGAGGGGTCAGGAGCACGGTAGTGTTCTCAGTATTTTTATGGCAGTCTGAACAATCTATTGGTGTTCTGTTACAGTGAAGGTTTTTAGGATTAAAATTTTCCCTTTAGTAATTCTTTCAGTATGTAAAAGTACCATCGGTGTTGGTGGTGGGGGGGGGGGGGGGGGAGAATAAAAGGAAGAAAACCTTTTTGGATGTGGAGTTGCCTGAAAAGAGTGAGTGAACATCTTAATCAATTTTAACCAAAGCCTAATTTGCACAGGTGTATCAACTGTATCCCGTTTGGGCTGTAATATGTGCTGACGCCATGTTTAAGGTGCCCTCCTGCCTAAAATAAAAAACATGATGGTAGATTCTGCTTGGGATGCCCTGAAACAGCTGCATTATTTTCAGTGTTTATTCCATTCCAGAATTCTGCTATTAGGACTAAATATTAGGAACTAGAAATGGACTTTGGTTGGAGTCTAATGCTAGCAAGTGATGAGTGTATCTTTTAGGGACCTGCGTGGTGGTTCAGAATTTCTAGGTTTGTGGTTAGAGAGGTATCCTACACACTAGGCAGATTTGTCGGGGTGCTGAGAAGGGTTGGTCATCAAGCTTTGTTCTTGAGTTTTGTGATAAAAAGGAGTTACATTTGGAAACAACTGGCATATATTGAAACATGCTTCTCATGTCGGTGAAGACTTTAGCCCTCCCCAAAAGGTGCTCTTGAAAGTAGTGTTGTATTATCTCCCCCTGCCCCACCCTGGCACTTGTGAATGGCTGCTGGTCAGTTGCTTTGGGACCGTTCCACCTGGTCCTGTATTTATCCAGTTGATATCCAATTTAACTTCCTCCCCTCTGAATAAAATGGGCAGTTTACTATTATGGCAGAAAATTGCAGATGGGGTTGAAGAATCAGTGTTTAGATCCTCTTCCATTCCTGTGGAGCTGCTTTTCTCCCAAGTTCTACCACCCACCATTTTTTAGATATTGCCGCTGGGAGTGTTTTTGGAGGGTGTGTGTGTGAAAAACTCCTCACCCACAGTGAACTTTTCCTTGCACCCTGCTTTCATCCAGTAGACCTGCCCATATTCAGTTCTGGAGGGAGCTTTATATAGCTAGTCTTTTGTTTTTCTAGAGCCAGTGTGGTCTAGTAGTTAGAGCATTGTACTGGATATGGGAGAGCCAGGTTCAGATCCTCACTCTGCTGTGAACATTGGCTGCACGACTTTGCACACACTCAGCCCAACACACAGGATTGGTGTTAGGAATTAAGTGAAGAGAACAGCATGATGTATGCCATTGGGAAGAAAGATGGGATATAAATGAAGTAGATACGTTTTCAAAACTGGATGTGTGATGCTTGTGAAGTCTGTGGCTATGGACATACGTGACTTGACAGTGAGTTTGAAGTGACACAGAAATTCTGAGGACCCACACTTCAGAACCATGTGCTTGTGCCACTGCAGTGCCACAAGGCAGTGGATCCACCTTTTTTCTGGTGTAATCTGTGGCTATGGACACGATATGCGATTTTATACTGAGTTTGGGGTGACCCAACGAAAAAATCATGAGGATCTGTGGTTTAGAACTATGTTTCCACACCATGGCAGTGTCATGAAGCAGTGGATGCATGATTCTTGTGGTGCTGCCCATAGACTTAAGATATGATCTGCAATATGACGGTAGTTTTATTCCGTCTCCATGTACAAACCATTAATGAGGATCTGTTTACAATTATCTAGATCGACCTTTAGCCAGTCGCAGGCAAAGTGTTCTACCACTGAGCTATGAGATCTTGTTGTCAAGCTATGAGGGGTAGGGGTAGGCATGGTTTAGTGGTAGAGCAACTTCACTGCAATGCATCGAGCTCTCGGATTCAATCCCAGGCATCCCCAGCCAAAAGGTTTCGGCAGAACGGGATTTGAGGGACCTCCATCCAAATCTCAGCAAACCACCACCAGCCACAATAGACACTGCTGACCCCACATAGACCCAGTGCATAGCAGCGTGCTTGATTGTGTCTGCCTGCTATTAAAACCTACCACTGCCAACATTATTAGAAGAAGAGACAATAATGTATTTAGATGGGGGATCGAGGTCACGATCATTTCAGAAGATAGAAGACAGCAACTAGCCCTGCCCTTTAAAGGTGGAGGGCGTTTCATATTCTCCTGTATTTCCACCCCTTGCCACTCATGAGAGATTCTATCTACTCGGAACTTTAAGAGAGGTCTGAGTGAAACGCCCCTTTTCACTTACCTCTATGGGCCCAACGAAGGAGCGGAAGTTGGTCTTTTTTAAAAGGTCGATGTACAACCACGCGTGCGCAATAGAAGTATCACCTGCCCTTTTTTGTCAGTTGTCGCGTGCTTCGTGGAGGATTTTTTCCCCCTCGGAGATCAAAGCGAAGACACGGCCTCGACCGTTGCCATGGCGATGCAAGCGGCGAAACGCGCGAAGATCAGTGCGGGCCGCCTCCCGGGTCCGGGACAGCCGGTTTGTTTGGGTTCCTCCGCCCAGCTTCTCGCGCCGCAGTGTCTCGGGGCCCCTTTCCATTAGAATCTTCTTCCCAGTTGGGGTCGTGTGTTATCAGAACCTGTCTCAGAGAAAAGGACTTGCACCACTGTGGGTTAAGAATAGTAGAAAGCTAGCAGATTTGACACAAACGCACACCAACCGTGTGGCCCTTTCAGTTTTATCCCCTTCTCTGGATGCAGTTCAGATTTCACAGCCCGATTGTACGTAAATAGGGGATGTACTAAAAGGAAGGACAAGATTGCCCATTGGAAACAATGGGAGACGCTGGAAGACCCATTGGAAACAATGGGAGCGAGGAATGCCA